ATAAAATAGTGACATTGTTGAGTAGGCTGTGAACCAGTGAGCACAGGTGAGCATGAAAATGGTGTGACTATTGTAGAAAGATCACTTTGACAGATATAGAAAGGATGGATTAGAGGAAAGGAGCAATTCATTCACTGAGTTACTGTCTTTACAACAGATGATAATTGCCTCACCTAAAGGAAATGGAGAGGTAAGGATGTGGATTTCAATGACATTGATAAGACCTAGTGACTATTTGAGGAAGTAGGGGTGTAGAGTCAAGGATACGTGATAAATTTCTGTTAATGCAATTCGGTGGATAATAGTACTCAGATCCAGAAGAGAGGAGGTGGAATATTTTGGGCCAGCAATCCCAAGCATGAGAAAATCTTGTTTAATTTGCTTCTACTCATTTTCCTTATATAGTGCATATTTTCCTCTTTTCTAGCTTACCTAGCTATCTTGTTTCTGATAGAACTCAAGAGTATTTAGCAGCTACATGGATCAGAAAGTTCCAGCCTTGGAATTCTTGGATGTAGCCAAACAACAGTGTATTATAAGTAAGGGTTGTCTTTTACTAAGTGAGTTTCTCAGGTGGTAAGAATTGCATCCAGTCCGGTAGTAGTTATCTTCCTGGTAAGGAGACATTTTTATAAGTGGAAATTCCCATTATGTAAGTGTCCTTTACAAAAGGGGACATTTGTTTTCCACTTTTGTGCAGGGAGGTAAAGAGAACCAACCTGCTGGCTTTCGTTTGCTCAAATAGCTCTTCAAACACATATACCTCTTCTTGGAACTGTAACCTCAAAGATCTGGCCTGGTTTCTGAGTGTGGATTTTCCTTCCAATAAGGCTTGGCAGGGTTACAGTTTTGAGAGTTCCAATTCTTTTTTCTCTGTGAATATCTATAGTTTTGACCAAACTGTTTTCCTCTTCATGTTATATTTCTCATCAAGAATATCAGTACCAAGTCTGTCATTGTTAGATGTGTGAGGTCTGTCCAGTAAATATCCAGCCACATACTATGAAAAATAGAGACATTTATTGAAGAAGCTACAAAAGACAAGAAATATTGTACACAGGACAATGATGCCTCAGTCCCCTTCAAAGTAAGCACCTTGGGACCTCATACACTTCTCCCAGTCACCATTAGCTGACCCATTGTATTTTCCTGAATCTCACTGATATTCTGAAATCTCTTCTCTTTCAAAGGTGACTTAGGTTTTAGGAAATGCCAGAAGTCTCAGGGTGCCAAATCTGGGCTATAGGGGGCTTGGCTGACTCACCTGTATGATTGTGATGCTTTGCAAAAAAACTGCATGACATGCGATGCATGAGTGGGCATGTTGTTGTCAAGAAGCTGCCAGTTACCACTTGCCCATAGCCTCTGAATCATCTCAGTAGTTTCTGGGGAGGAATGTTCAAGCTTAAGGAAAAGTTCAATGCAGATTCATTGGCCTACTTGCTCAGTCATTTTTAATGTGACGGTCACACAGTACACATGCTCACTCAACAACGTCTATTGCCTCCACTGACTAATACAATGAAGTTGTTATTGTTCATGCACACACATTCCAGTCTACTCTCCTTGGCTGCCAGGTTACATCAATGTTGTGCATTATTATATTAACATAATAATATAATATAATGCACATTATTACTGTTATATTATATTATAACGATATAACATAACAATATATTATTATATATTGTTCTCATTATATTAACAATGGCTGGATGTTTTCCAGACAGATATTTTAATATTTTATTTTAGATTTTATTTATTTATTTTTACAGAGAGGGGAAGGGAGGGAGAAAGAGAGGGAGAGAAACATTAGTGTGTGGTTGCCCCTTGAATGCCCCTTCTGGGGACCTGGCCCATGACCTAGGCATGTGCCCTGACTGGGGATCCAACTGACAACCCTTTAGTTTGCAGGGTGGCACTCAATATACTGAGTTATACCAGCCAGGGCAATATTACAACGTTTTACATATTCAGGGTCCCAAGTTCCATAACATACAATAGCAACATTTGGAACTTTAAATAATCGCTGTCTTTTTTTCAAGTTTTCCCATATATCTTGTCTTGAAAATCATAACTAAACTTAATAACCACCCACAAGCTTAAATTTTAACATTGGTTTCTCTGTCATGTGTGGTTTAGGTAGAAACCTCAAACAGTGATAAGAGACAACATTTGTAACATCCTTTTTTGCCCATTCTTTCCCTGAAGTGTGCTTTATGGGAAATAGAATGCTGAATACACAAACAGATGATGTGGTTAAACATTTTTTATTATGAATGTTTTCTGATGTGTCCTCTAAGTCATTTAAAAATATGTTCAATAATTTTATAGCAAAGTCTCAGAATGCATTAGAAAACACAACAAGTCTCATAGACTTCCTTTCTAAGAATAAGAAAATTTTGATAATTTTAATAATTATGTTGTTTCCTTTTCACCATTCAGTGAAGCTTTCTGCCCAATGACATCCGTGACATTTGTGTGTGTGTGTGTATGTGTGTGTGTGTGAGGGGAGGAAGAAACGTCCCCCTGCCCTTAAGGTTCTTTTGGCTTGTCTAATGATTGAATAGACAGGAGACAGATTAGCAAGAGAAAATACCAGATTTAATGCATACATATATATGGCAACTCCACATGCATGAGACAATCAGAAACTCCACATGTAGGAGAGGTTCACAGATAAAAGGGGAATTAGTTATATAAGACATTCTGAGCTAGGGATGACATAATTCATCTTGGGAGCTTCAAAGGGTCATTGCAGGATGATAAGAAGGGCAGATACTTAGTTAGTAGAAGTTTGCCGTGTCATGTAAGTGCATCAAAAAGGTTATCACTGACAATCACTTAGGGCAAGGCCTCTAATTCAACCTCTTCTAGGCAGATAAGGGGGGGTAGAAATTTCTCTTGATCCTGCAACTAAAGTTGACTTTAGCTCAAAAACAATTTGCATATCACAAAAGCACATCTGGAATTGACTTGTTCTGAACCCCTACAAGCCTTAAATCAAGATTGGGTTTAAGAAAAATCCCTGTATATGAATTAGGCAAAAGTCAGGTGATAAACAAAATAGTTTTCCAGGCATTAAAGGTGAGACATAGAGAGAGAGAGAGAGAAAGGAGGAGAAGGGGTGGGGAGTGGCAGGAAGGGAAAGGTGGGGGAAAGAGGGGAGGGAGGAAAGAGAGAGAAGTGGGTGGGAGATAGGATTGGTATTAATGATCACTAGGATTTAATCTTTCATTATAACTGAATGCATGTTTTGTGCAGCAACAAAATTTTTTGAGGTTTCTGGTGTTTATATTTTTATATTTTTCTTAGGCTCAAAAATAGTACTCTCTATTCTACTTTCACAATGACTTCCTATGTGCCATAATTCAGCTGTTAGATAATGGCACCTTTATACATGTTGTGTTATTGACTAATTTTAGGTGCCTAGGGCAGATATGTAAGTACATTTTCAAGTTTGTCATAAAGAGTGAGGATTGATAGGTGTGTTTCTCTTCTTATGAGGGAGACAGAATGTGATGATTATAGTGTTTTATTGGCAAACATTCAATTTCAGGTTACTTTTGTATATTTGTTATATTATGCAATTGTACTAGGCAAAAGAGTACTCTATTTGGAAATGAACCACAACCGGAATTTTGAATTGGAGATTTGTGTCATTAAAATTATAGAATGGGCCTTAGAAATTAAATGGTCCAAATGGGAAAATGGAGACACTGAAGGGTAATGAAAGAGAGAACTCTAAATTAACAGTGGTGAGAATTTTGTAGTCATGTTTGTTTTTATTTTTAATACCTTTGAGAAAACTTGTCTGGTTGTTTGCCATTTCTGTTGTTCATATAACTTATGTAATCAATTTTTATTAATAGCTAGAAAATAATATGATATGCAGTTTCTTTTCAAATTGAAAATGAGAGAATTATTTAAGAAAAGGAAACATTTGAGCCTTAGATTTTTTTTAATCTAACCTGACTACAATAAATGCTAAGGAGTTCTAGATAGTGAAAGCACAGAATGTTTTTTTTTATTTTAGATGTCTAATAGGAGACAGAGCTTAAATAAATTGACTTATTTTTGTAATCTCTTTTTCTCTCACAAAAGAAAAAAGATAAATCTTCAATTTGTCGCTCATCTTTGCTAGAGATTATTTTTCTTTCAGGCTCAACAGTTTAGGGCATATTCACTATGTACCTATTAAAAAGACAGTGAAAATACTGGTATCCTGTTACAAATGAGGACCTTGAGGCCACCACGCTTGCATTGAGTCATTTCTGTAAGGTCTCTCAGTCAATAAATAACACAACTGACGTCAGCACATAGTGATATCAGTGCTCTGTTTTGGCACTCTTTCCACTGGTCAGAAGGAGAAGGGCAAGAGGAGGGGACAAGAAGAAGAGGAAAGAGGGAAAGGAAGAAGAGGAGGGGGGATAAGGAGAGGGAAGAGACAATTTTGCATGTTTATTTATTATGTGCCATTTACAATGTTTAGCACAGCCACACGTTATTGCTCTCACTTTTATAATAACCTCTGAAATAGATAATATCTCCATTTTATACCTGAGGAAGATGAATCTTGAAGAAATAGTGTTCCTCCCTTATACTTACTTACATAGCTAGTATTGGAGATACTAGAGAGCCTTTTTTTTCCACCACTGCACAAAAGTGACTCCCACACTCTTCCTTGTTCCTCTGTGTTTTTAAAAGTGAATGTTGGGAAATTCACTTTAATTTTGTTTTATTTCTCTAAGAGAAACAGAATTGAAACACACACACACACACAAAGAATAAAACTCTGGCACTGTACCGTGGTGTGTTGGTAGTATCAACACTCTTTCAGGAGAAAAATGTAAATCTATTTCGGGACAAAAGTGAAAGTAGGGAATTAAAAGTTAATATTAAAACTGAAACAAAGCCATGTTTTGTGAAGCAAACATTAATAGCAGTACATTGGATCAAAGGATGTGATCTCACTTCATAGTAAAACAGGTCCTGCAAGCCCAGGTAACTCAGGAAGCAGAATGGTAATTATTCACAGAAGAAAGCAGGTAGTATTCTGTTACAATACTACAGTAGAAAGTCAGAAGGTCATAACTCTATCAGGGTAACTGAAACAACTTGAAACTGTTTGGCACCCTTTAAAAAGGAATAATAAGATGGGAGAGAATGAAGCAAGTTTACCTAACACGTCCTTGCAAGGTAAGCGCCAACAGCCTCGGAAATGTCTGCAACCAGAAATTCAAGCAGTGTTGATTACGGTGTGTGTGCATGTGTGCGCGTGAGTGTTTGCCCCCACGGAGTTTCAAGGTGTGCCGTGAAGGTGGGAAGGAAAGGTGGGAATTGTTTCAGAAGAAGCTGGCTGTCTGTTGTGCTCAGCAACCGGATCAGCACAGACAGACAGACCTGTGGAGCACCGAGAGAGCCTTAAGCTTATTTCCAAGTGCAGTGGTGGAGAAATGTTGCGGCCAACTTGTGGTGCATGTTTCATGTTAGGTCTTTTCCAACATTAACAGAATATGGATTTTCATCTCTACCTGTGCAATTTTTATTTGTAATCAAGTAAACACCATCTCTAGTGTTTATCAGCTAAATGTCCTTGTAATTAGTATAACTTTTTTTTTTTTTTTTAGTGGAAAACAGGATCTCAGAAGAGAGCATATCAGCTGGGAAGAGTGGTTTATTTTACATGTCTTACCTAATCAGATATCTTTGTCCTTTGAAGGGATTGGCTTTGTTGATGTTGGCTTGATTAGGCTTCTGTGGTTAGTCGTGTTGATAGAAATGAGTACAAGGCTACTCACGCTTTTCACTTTTTTGAGTGAGAAAACTTTTTTAAAAAAAATTAAAGAGGGTTAATGCTTATATGTGATATGTTTTCAAGTATTCTACTTTTTAATGAATTCATTATCATTGTTACAAATTACATTTTAATCAGGATTTAAAAAGACATTTACTTATAATGCCATTTTTATTTGTTTATTTATGTTCTTATGAAGCTACCATCAAGAAAATTTTCAAACCACCCAGTTTTCCTTAAAGTGCATATAATCAAGCATATAAAACTACATTTATGAAATATGACACATGCCAGATACCAATAAGATGATCATAGATATGGCTGGGCATAAAAGTATAACATCCAATTTATAAAGTTAAATTACCTTCCATAATTCCTGTGTTTTTTCTTTATTTTCTTTAATTATTTCTCCACTTAACATGCTTAAGAATCTCAGAATCTTATTTTTATTTCTGTTTGTTTCCTAAAAATATTTTTTTAAATACTGCATAAAATGCTTTAGAAATCATTTTTAAAGATTACTACAACAGTCATTTAGGACTTCCCATTGAAGAAAAACAAGGTCAAAAGCTTGTTTAGCATAATTCTATAAAATCATATATTTTCGTGCATGTTTTATGTACAAAATACTATTATGTCTGTGATTACTACTTGTATCTCACTAAAGTAGACCAGTGATAGCTGTCCTGGAAGAAGTACATGTTGTCGGAGTTCACATAACGATGGTTTTGTACAACCTGCAGGTGACTGCTGGGCAGCCACCCGCCCGGCCGGTCCTAGAACTGCGTGGTGCGTCCTGTGCCAGCACTCCAGGAAGTGAAATACACTAAGAAAAAAACAGGCACTCCCTCACCTCCTCAGCATCCCTTTTGGTGTCAGAATCATGGGTAGTATTTATTTCTTATTTTGAAGTTTTAGAATATGTATAGATTTTTGTTTTGTTTTTCTTTTTCTCTGACATTTCTATGCATGTTATGCTTCTGGTACTATATCCCACTATAGAAGGGTGATATGTATATATCTTCCTATTACATATATATATTCTATATACAATATATATACTCATACATATACCCCACACAGTTATTACATATATATATATATACCCTTTATATATATCCCATAGATCACACATATGTATATATCCCATATATACACAGATATGTACATATCACCCTTCTACATATACGCACACACATGTATATCCACACACACAGTTATTTTAGAATTAACAATCTCTATACATATATCTATAAGTAAATACACAAAGTTTAAAACAAGACCCCAGTAAATAATTTGAACTCCATGGTTCCAATTACAAAATGATGTTCTTGGATCTATGAATCTTCTGTAGTTGGGAAATGCTTGTGAGACCAGTTCTATCCCAGAGTATTTTCCCTTGTTTACTTCATGAAAACTTTTGAATAAGGAATGGGTTATCTCCTGATCTTACCTAAGATCAGAGAGATCTCCAGAGAGTCCAGATACATCTTCTTGGAATATTGAAATGCTTCCGTTTCAGTTGTATTTGCATTAAGATTATTCAGTGAACCTGCTAATCAGGTGAGAGTTAATGAGAAGTGAAGGTACTTTGGTTTTTGGTTTTTAGTTATTTCTGGATTTATTTTAAATTATAAATGAAAACACTAGGAAGATAATTTGCCGCTTTACTTTATGTGTGAAAGTAAGAGGTAATTTTACTTTGACTTAACTGCATTTATAAAAAGATTCGAAGTTCTCTGAAATAATATTAGTTATCAGCTCTATTTATAAACAAGCATTCTCTAATAGAAATGACTATTTAAATACCAGGTTGTGTACAGTAAACATGGGTGATTTCAGTGTTTTGGCTATGAATATAATAAATGACAGTATATTATTATTAAAATTCTGTCATGTGCTTTGAATAATGGTTTTCTAGGGTCATGTATCTCAATTGCTTAGATTCATAGGACCCTCTGTAGTCAAAATTAGGAGGGCTTCCATAGATTCCATCAAATATTATTCATTTTAATGCTATTTCCTATGGTTTTCTGACTTGTCTTATACCCCACAAGCTGGTTGAGTGTGACCTGGTTAATGAGTGTCCCACCAGTGGTCACCATTTATTATTCCCAATAGTACCGGGGACTTATTTTTTCCAAGTGAAAGTAAAGGTTATCTTCAGCTTACTGTGAACAGATCTCAATTCTCTTTTCAAACATAAACAACATCTCTCTCTTTCAGTCCAATGAAAAGTAACTCCATGGAGAATTATGTAATGATTCCATACATAAAGGTTTATACTATTCTCAGGATTCACAACATGGGCAGAATAGAAAGCCAGAATTTTCTTTTTGATTTTTGAAAATACAAGTACAATGTATATATAACATGGCAAAAAAGTAGAAACCAGTGCTTTTTTAACATTGTTATTTGCCAAGAAAGGGAAGCATCATTTCTTTGCATGATAGCTGCAAACTGGCGTGCGCCACTGAGTGGCACTTGGTCGGTCTGGGACAGTAGTGAAAGCCCATGCATGGATGGGAGGAGGGAGGGCTTTCTTCGAGGCAGGCCACTACCTGGAAAATTCCTCAGGCTAAGGTTTCTCCAGAAGCTACCCTTGGACCGGTAAGGGCCCTTTACCCTTTTCCTACTCCCCTCAAATTTTTTGTTAAGTGGTAGGGCCGACCCTAGTCAGAAATATTACAAATGGAAGAATTTATTATTATCCAGCTAAGCTCCTCATCCCCTGAGCCCCTCCCACCTCAGCAACTCAGTCCCCATGAACTTTTTCTATTTTCTGTCTTTCCTCGTCCTTGGTTAAAGCATGTCCAAGGCCACTTGCCTCCTTGTAAAGGATATAATATATAAATTCAGCCTTGGAATTATTTGAATAAAATGTATCTGAGTTCAATGCCAGAACAACACTGTGAGAGATTTCTTTGGGTGGGGGTCTGCCCGGGGCTGCTCAGCACAGCCTACGGTCACCTGCTTAAAATTGTTTGAGCATCTTCTAATTATAGCCCTCTTTTCTACCTCAGCTCTTCTTGGTTCTTTGGATCTAGGAAAATACTAACATCTGCAAAACACCAGGAGCTCAGAGGAAAATGTTTCTTAAGTACAGAGAAGTTGTCTATTCACTGTGGAATTCAAGGCTAGCTTTAGACAGCAGTCAGCAAAGAAGAGAGAACCCTTTGCTAAAGGGTTCAGTATTTGCTAAATACTGAAGGAGAAGTTGGTTATCAGAATTAGAGAAAAAAATCTGCAGATAGTTAAAATTTCTGGGAACTTATTGGGCCTCGAGTCCAATATTTCTACTTTGAACAGTAGCAAGCAGAGATCCCAGGAAGGAAATTTTCCTTGATTTCTTAGAAGCAGTTGCCAGGTCTCCACCCTAGCTGTCTAAAGCCTGTAATTTTATTGAGGAATTCGGCACATTAATTTCTATAGGCATTTAGGTTTTTTTTTTACTTCAAAAGAGGAAGTCAAGCTCATAAATGCTTTCCCTATTGACATGTTTCAGTTTCTACAGTTACAACCTTGAAAGAATTGTCCACTATTCAGCCAGGCTGTTGAAACCTGGTCCATCTGGATTTGGGTTTTCTCTTGACTCCATACGTTTCACTGATTTTTAATACATTTACTTAACGTTCATCGCAACCAGGGAAGTTGGGTTGAAAGTCCCCAGGCGCATTCATTGAATGTTTCTCATGCTATGGCCATTTTTTTAAAGGAAGTATACTTATTTTATTTGGCTAGTGAAAGGCAAAAAAAAAAAACAAAAAAAAAAAAACTAGCAGGAAGGTGCCTTAGTGTCTGTGCTTCTAAGTTGCAGCCGGAGGGCAGCAGTACTGTATCTCCCAACCTGTTATACTGGTTTACTGTGCGTGTTTACCTCTGTGGTGGAAACATATCTCTGCATTCATCATTGTAAACCATGCCTGTGAGTGTCTTGAAATCTTTCTAAAACACCAAAGAGGACGAACCAGTCTGGGAGTCTCCCCAGCCTATAGACCTTTAACAGCACTTTCAGCTGAGAGTGGTTCAAGGAGCTGTCGTTTCAGGAGGAGGAAAGAAAGCCTTTCCCTGGCTCACAGTGATAGGTTGGAAGCACATGGAGAATTGAGACATTTTGGAGCTGATATTTAGATTTTGAGGTAGCAGGACATTTTGGAGTTAAAGCTTTGCTGGAGAGGTCTTCTCTAAGGACAAAATCGAGTATATCTGGAGCAAGTAAAATTGCCGAGAATGTTAAGGCATGAAATTCCAGGTGAGTGGACCCAAATGTCAGCGGTGCACGTGGGGATGGCTTAGGGACTTTCCCCAGGTGCAAGACAGAATCCTGGGAACAAAAAATGAGATTCAGAGATAAACTCTGATATAATAGAAAAGAAAGAGTTCATGAAAATAACATAACTAA